AAAATCTCAACATATTTTCCTTTGGTCAGCATGCCAATTAGAATCATCGCTCTGACTGCAAGGTTATGGGACCATTTAAGCATACTGGTGGGGTGCTCTCACATACGACGTATAAGAAGAGGTTGGTAAGACTTATTTTCTGCATTAAATCTTGTTTTACTTTAAATGCATATTAAATATTTCATTACATTGACATGCTCTAGAGAAAGAATGAGATCCAACCACTGCAAAGTTATACGAGTGCATTCACAGGAGACAGTTGGATTAGTCCTGGGTGGATAGAAGATTCCAAGAGATCCAAGTAATTCACAAGATTAATTAGTATAAAATTAAGGTAACCATTGAAGTTTATTTAGTATCAAACTTTCATTAATCATATTTTTTGTATGAGGCCTTCGAGAGGCTCATGAAGAGCCGATCCCAGCAGTCGGGCAGTGGTTCGATCACATCTCATGATCATTTTGAATACAACATGTGGAGTTTATGGTTTGGGGTCTCAGGTTGTGGCCTATGATGCCGGCCTGACCTCTAGTACATTTTGTGCATCTACTTCTACTGCATAGGAGGAGGAGATGCGTCGCCAGGTTGTTGCTGAGGTTGCTGCCCAAGTATTCATCCGACTAGCCACCCTAAAATTAGAGATGGAGCGGAAGATGAAATCAGAGCTCAAAGTAGTGATGCGTTCTGAACTGTGTAGAGGGAAAAAACCAGTTCAGGATGAAGATCAGGAGGATGATGACGAAGTGAGGACCGATGAGGATGAGTAAGGGTTATTTTTTTATGTTTGTATACATTAAATAATTTATTGATCCCAAAAAATATTTATATTGGATAGTTATAATTTTTATTTTTTTTAATGCAATTATTTTTCTTTTGTTTATGTTTATGGTTTATGTGTTAATTAGTTTCATTACTATGTATTTTTTAATGCAATTATTTCTCTTTTGTTTATGTATATGGTTTATGTGTTAATTAGTTTCATTACTATGTAGTGTTGTACTGTGTGGAAATCATACTGTTACAGTTGCAAGTGTGTAAATTGTAGTGTTGAAGGGGGATTTGATGTTTTTTATGCTACAGGTTTTTGAAGGTTTAGCGACTGCTTTAAGACTTTCTGATTAAGATCTGACAGCTATTCTACATATTATTGAACAAGCGATGTTTTCACAAAGTGCTGCATTTTTTCGACGGATACAACCGCTTGTAATTTTCTATGGTTAACCGACATGTGTGTTGCACTTTACTTATGAAAGCACAACATTTTTCCCATAAAAGTGCAACACTTTTCCTACAGATATAGACGTCGGTTATGTTATCAATGATTAAACATGGCATGATTTTTAACCAATAGCGGCGGAGATTATTCGCCAGATAACCTGTAATTTTTAAAATAACCGTCGGCAAATCTGTAGATAATTATATTATCGACAAGCATTTTTGCTACGACGAATACACCGTAGTTTGACCGTCGGTAATTATATTATCTATGGCTTTAATATTATTACTGACGGTATTGGATCATCGGTCACAAGATAAATTTCTTTAATGACTAATGTTTATGCTTACCAACATCGTCTCATATTGTCACATACAAGACCAATGCAACGTCTTTATTGCTTAGAACGATGCATTCCTTCTACGTACTTGTAAAATTAGACTTCTTAGTCTTTTGATTCCTATCCTCAATAGATACTGATAGAAAACCCAAAAACATTTTTTTTAAAAAAACTCTAATGACTCGAGAGGTTATCTAATTATATCATGAAATTCATTATATGTGATTCATGTTCACTATAGCATCGATCCCTTCTTTAATTACATAAGAAAATCATTTTAGCATGTCAGTGGAATCATTTTAAATTTGTTAGACCCCCTTAATTTTTTTGCTTTTCAATTTTTCAATGCAAAAACTCATGTCTCGTTTTTCTATCTATATGAGTATCGGATCATCGTATAAGATTAAGACATTAATTTCTCACTCTATTGTCGTAAAATTGTTGATAAGCTTGTGACCACACACACATGCATTAATCTTTTTTTTCGAGTTTTCTACATTATTTTACTCATAAGATTTCTTATTATTTTTTACTTTTAAGAAGTTAAAATAATGATCATTTTGATCTCATATGAAAGATTTAGAGGGGATTTATGTAAAAAGTAAAGTTTGGGTGCTAGAAATTTAAATACATAAAAATTGGGTGGCATGTTTGTAAAAAACCCAAAAAACTTTGTTGTGAATTACAATTCTAAACAAACAAAGTAGACTAATCATTTTGTTCACATTTCATTATAATTTGAGGCTCCTTGGAATTATTTTTATACTTAGCATGAAAAAATTGTGTGATAGTATATTATTTTGTTTTCGTACGGGACAGTGAGGAGAGAGACCGGTAAGCTAGCGGTGGCAACCGAGAAGGCAATAATAGCATTTATGCATCTTGTTTGAAGTATAAATGATCTTGGCATTGACAAGTGAGCTATATTATAAGAAAAGTTTGCATTATTATATTTTCTTAAATTTATTTTTAACTAAAACTTCTTATATTATAAATAATAAAAAGTGAATTTTTATAATATTGATATCCTTTGTAATTGCATCCCATTTACTATGTATTTTTATACTATTATACAAGCCCCAATCATTCTCAATACGCCTAACAATTCGAGTATCACCCCTTCAACTAGGAGAATCAAACCCCAAATCTGAGCAAATTTATAATGACAAGCAGACGTAGCTACACATCTTATTCTTTAGAAATATCAAGATTTTAGATGAAAGAAGATATTAGAATCCAAGGCCAAAATTTACGTATGACACGCTATCAAATATTATTCGCCAAAAATTAATGAGAATGAGTCCAAATTGACTGTTAGAAGCAACCCATGATCCTTCAGAAATCCAAATTTGGGAGCTATGAATCTGCCAAAATTCTCACCGTTCGGTGCACCGCAACGTCAATTAGCTGCTCCTCGCAAGCCGCTCCCGTCATCGGCGCACATGATGGCATCCGCCAAACCCTCCTCGTACGATAAGGAAACCACGTCCTCACCACCACAAACTTAGAGCATATATCCACGTGGAATCCTTTCATTGACGGGTGCAAGTCACAAAAATAAAACCTGGAGTTTGGGCAGCTCGCACCACACAACATGAAAGGCTACCAGCCCAGCCAGCTCACCAAGCTGACGTGTCTACCTATCTTTCCCCAAGGACAGCGGGCCCCATAACTTCCTCAAATCATCGGTATGGGTCCCACCGTTTGCCGTTGCGAAATTGACGGTAATAAATGTCTCCACTTCTCCCCCCCGTCTCTCCATCGCATAAACACCGGCCTGAAATTCTCCTCCATCAGAATACACAGCAAGAGAGACAGAGAGAGAGAGATTCCGGCCGATCTAATCGATACGATATTACTTGAATCAATATCAGCGATCTATCTGTGCGAGATTTGATCCTGAAATGTCTCTGGCCGGAAATGCGATTTTCTATGTGATCAGAAAGGAAGACAACGCTGCGGAAGCTCTGGATACATCCGTTATATGGGAGAAGGAGCGGTAGTCCAATAGCCTTCAATCAAAATTATCTAATTATATTCAATCGACCGTTTTCGAGATCCAAATCGTTTTTCTATCATTCCATTTTTATTGTTTTCGTCTTTTTGATTCCCCCCCGATCCGAGAGATGTCGATTTCAGAACAGAGGAATGTGGAGGTGGAGTTCGCCAAGTGCGAGTGCTGTGGCCTGACAGAGGAATGCACCCCGGCGTACATAATGGGCGTGCGGGAGCGTCACCACGGCTTATGGATCTGCGGTCTCTGCTCCGAGGCTGTTGTTGATGAGATCAGCCGGGCGGGACGCCGGATCTCGACGGAGGAAGCGCTCGCCCGTCATATGAATTTCTCTCGCGCCTTCCGCTTCCGATCCATGGCTCAAGACCCGCTGGAATCAGCAGAGCATTTAATTGCTGCGATGCGACAGCTGCTGCGCCGTGGCCTTGAATCTCCGCGGTCTATGAAGTCGGCGCCCCCGAGCTTGCGCCGGCGGATGAAGGAAGACGGAGTTGATAGTGTTCCGCGGCCATCGTTCACGCGGTCGGGAAGCTGTTTCCCTACCTTCGCTGGCTGAGAGAAACCGAAGGTTCTTGATCAGCCAGCCGCACAAGTACTGTAATTTTCTACGCGGATGAAATGTAAGGAATAAACCGCTTGTTTCTGCATTAGCAGTTATATAAATTGGTGTATGGTTTTTATAAGTTGAAGAATTTCGAACTTTTTCGTAATTTATTGGTAGGTTTTGTCCTCATTCCCGTTACAGAGAATCTGTATAAAATCCTCCAATTCAGTTAACTGATCTTGTTATCTTTGTAGTTTTAAGCTTATGTTTTCTTTCTTATTCTTTGAATGTTCTGCGTTTCTTTTCTTTTTCTCTGATTATGTTTGGAATTCTGGTAGAAAAATTTAAATTTCGATTCTTTTAGAGGAGAAGAAAATATTAGGTCATGGGAGTTCACATTATCATATACATGAATCTGTGCCGATGTAACGTTCTGTGATTGAACGTCTGGACATGCGGTGTCTCAACATGATATTTTTCTCCTTGAAAAGGTTCTGAAAATTTCATATATATCAAATTTTATGTGTAAGATGTATAAATACACAAGAATTATTTCATATGTATATAAATTTAAACTATAAAACTTAAATTATCCAGATAAAAATCTCCTTATTTTTTTCTCATTGTAACAATAAAAACAACTAATAAATCATTAGAAAGATTCCCTCTCTGTTTTTACTTTTTTTTTAATGGTGCATTAAAAAAATTTTTTTTTTAATTACGGTGATCGACGGTAGAGATCGTACAAAATTTTTTAATTACGGTGATCGACGGTAGAGATCGTACACCGTTTGCATCTCTGCATACGATGTCCGTATGAAATAATTTTTCCTCTTATAGGCATCAATTCAGTTTGGCATCGTGGGGTTATGCCTCTTTTAACCGAGTTTATTAAAGGAATTCTATACTAAAAATTAGGAAATTATTGTATGTTGAGAAGTAGGTTAAGTTTCTATTAATAAGAGAGAATTATAAATAATAATTTCCATACAACAATGGAATAGGATGGCAATATCTTCTAAGATCTACATTTTCTTTTAATTGAAACAATTTCCTTTTATCGTTAATAACATGCCTTTAAGAAATTCTTCTTATGAATGTTTATCCGATTCCTTGATTGGTGCTTCTATGAGTTAAAATCATTCTTACATCCATACCAGGAAAAAAGAAACAATTAAGGAATTCATTTTCCTTATAGGAATTGTATTCTTTCTAATTCGGTGCACATATTTTGTTTGAACAGTCTTACAAAAGAAATTTGACAAAGTGTGATAATTTTAGTCTATATTTCTATGCTAGAAAACAAAAAATATTTTAGAAAAAAAGATAATGGCGCATTCATGTTCAACATAAATTATTTACAAAGCTTCAAAATTATATAATGGCGCATTGTTCAACATAAATTATTTACAAAGCTTCAAAATTAGAAGAAAATATTGATTATGACGTTCGTATGTAGGGTGTAAACGAGCCGAAAATGAGCGAGATCAGGCTCTGTTCGTGCTCGGCTCATTAAAAAATATCATTGTTCGTGTTCGACTTGTTTATATTTCGAGCACAAAAAGTGTGGTTGTGTTCGGCTTGTTTGCTTAGCAAGCTGAACACGAGCTGTTAGCGAACAAAGAGTCATTTTGACAACTCTAATGGCGCAGCCGTAGGATGTTAAAGATTGGTGCAAGATTTAAAACTTATTGTTTATATTAAAGCATTATTTAAATATAATTTAATATATTTTTATTATATTTTTTTAATTAATAATTTTAATTGATGAGTAGTATTTCGAGCCACAACAAGTTGAACACGAATGAATAAATCTTTATTCGTGTTAGGCTCGTTTATATATCGAGCATAAAAAAATGGTTCTTGTGTGAATTGTTAATTTAGAGAATGAATCGAACATGAGCTTCTTAAAAATCGAACACGAGTAGTTCACAAACAACGAAGCGTTCTCACGGCCCTATTTGTATGCCCTGACTTTTGTTGAGATTCAAAAACATTACTCTTCACAAGTCACGAGTTTATACAGTGGTGTGCTCGAATCTCACTGATTGATAGCACATACGAACAACCATATGTCATATCTTTTCCAGAATTAGGGAATATCCAAATTACCAAAAGAAAAATAAAATAAAATGCGATACGGAAATGGTTAAATCTGCAACATCAGAAGCCGTGCAGTCCCAATTTCTTTGTTTTTTTTTTTTTGCACTTTTTTTAAAAGCTATAAATTTAGCTTTAAGATAAATTATAGTTTAAAAATTGGATCGATAGTTAAGTTAGATTTCTTTTGGACTAATGTGTAAGAGTCCATTAAACCACCCTCCCCCCACACATGGAAAAAATTTGCGTACATAAGACGTACGTAGAGCTGCGTACGTCTGTAACTTGAAAATAGGTTACAGGGAGGATATTTGGAGTTTATAACTGCGTTATAGCCTCTGTAACCTCCTTGTAACCTACTTGAACCTTCTAGTAAGTTCCGCGCTTCTGATTTCATATATAGGCAGGTTACAGGAGCTATAACGCGGTTATAACCTCTGAATATCCTCCCTGTAACATATTTGCAGGTTACAGACGTACGCAGCTCTGCGCATGTCTTATTTACGCAAATTTTTCCCCCCCCACACACACACAAACAAGAAAATATTACATCTGGACTGACGTAGGGTTACGTCCGTACTCCAATTAAAACAGATAAACTTAAAGCCCGACCAAGTCATAGTGTACAACGTGGTTTTACTGGAGATTATTTTTCCGTATATCCATGTTGTACCAAGTAAAAAAGCATCCTAAGAAATAATTCAATGTGAAAGTCATAGTGTACAACATAATTGTACTCAAGAAAACCTCCAGTACAACCCTACAACCATGTTGTCCACGAAAATGACTATGTGTCAAGTTTTTCGAGTCCCCTTAGGTTACGGGTTCAATTCCCCTCGTGTGTAGGGTGTAGTACTCGAATATTTAACACACCTAGGGATGGTCGGAGCTTGTCAAATAGTCTTCAACCATTCTTTTTTTAATATACATATATATATATATATGAGCCGTGTACTCAGATCAGTTGGTCGGGCATCTGCTTGTCAATTGTAAGTCTTCTCTGACTTGTGGTTCAATTCCCCCTAAGTGTAAGGTGTGGTACTTGAATTTTTAGGCGCATGAGGGATGGTCGGGGCTCGTATAAAAGCCTTCGACCATTACTTTTTAATATATATATATATATATATATATATACATACATGGCAAATTAGAGGGACCCACAATGAAGTATGCAGAGATCCAATCAACACTGATTTACTTTATTGGATTAGAAATTGGTGGTAAGTCAAGAAAATAACATCTCAGAGCTCTGCATACATGGCAAATTAGAGGGACCCACAATGAAGTATGTAGAGATCAAATCAACACTGATTTACTTTATTGGATTAGAAATTGGCAACACTGATTTACTTTATTGGATTAGAAATTCGTGGTAAGTCAAGAGAATAACATCTCAAAGCTCTGGTAGGCCAATCCCTTCAGTAGGCAAACTGATTGACATAGCAGACCGAATGAAGGACAACTCCACACTAGGCCGAACTCAGAACAGCTCTACACATGGCCGAACGAAGAACAATGCTACACCAAACCTAACAAAAGACAACTCACTTCTAAACGAACCACAAAGGTGGGCCGAAGACTGAAGCAAAGCCACAATATGCTTAGTCGAGAAGTCTTCATATCATTGTCATGTGATTTGATTTGTCTTCACCGAACGAATGAACGTGAACTGAAAATCGATAGTCATCATGATCCACCAATCAATTCATTATTAATATATTTATATATTGTACAAATGACCTTAATAACCTTAAGCTTCTTTGTATTGAAGGGAGTCTTAGATGTAAATATGAACTATGAGTTTCTCCTATTCCTATAAAGGAGATTATTTCATGAGAAAAGGCTCTGGATGCTCCCATTTTATTGTTCACTTCTTCTCCTCTGATGCTTTATACCTTGGGTGTGATTCCCCCAGCACTTTAGGAATCAACATCCTAAAAGGTGTGGTGATCGTAGAATCATGCCACCAACAAGAAGAGGAGTGCAACACAGGGAAAAAACTGCAGCTCAAGAAGAAACGCAGAGTCAAATGGTAGAAATAGCTAGCACAAGCACAAGGAAGATTGTGTGACAATAATTGATGAAGCTGATAGAACAACTGATGTTAGAAATGAGAGAGAAAATGTTAACCACTTTTCACGAAGCTCTAACCAGAGGAAGTCAAAATCCACAGAGTCAGAACCCCAAAAATATAGTCGTCAAGAAAACAATCGTTGGGATGAACTAGCACCCAATGACTGGTGAGATGTACCTGTCCAACAATCAAAAATCTCAACCTACGGAAGAAAATGTTAAGGATTCTCGGTACCAAGATAGTGTTGGGTTCTAGTAGAAAGATATCTCACCATGCGAACCAAAACCCTTTGTCAATCCGAAAATTACCAAGATAGTGTTGGGTCGTTCTAGTAGAAAGATATCGCACCATGCGAACCAAAACCCTTTGTCAATCCGAAAACAACTTTTCCCAACAAATCTCTGAGGTCAAATCTACAGAAAAGTTCAAAACTTCCAACATCAATTTATACAAGGGTCTCACCAACCCAGCCGATCTTGTGGTTGCTTTTGAGTCAGCAGTCGGTATATTAAAGATCATTGATGCATTCAATTGTCGTTTATTCCTTACCACATTAAGGGAATCAACCCTCGGGTGATTTAACGCCCTCCATTCTGAGAAGGAATAACTGCATTCTTAACCCCAGGCGTTATGCTCGTCAGGTGTTTTTTTCCCTCTTGTCCATTAGATTTGGTCGATGCTCCAGCAGGAGAAACAATCAGGCCAATACCCGACTTCTGGGGCAACAAGGGAATGTCATCAAACAATTTGTTCCCATCATCGCGCTCATCCAATGGCCTCTTCTTGAAATCCAGTTGTGTCACTCACCTCTTCTTGGCAGACTTGCTGCCCTTGAAATGCTTTTTCTGGTCACCAACCACGTCACCGTTGGGTGTTGATTTTTTGTTGGAATACTCGAATGACAGATTTTCTTAGCCGGTAGTCCAAAAACCTTCATCAGAATATCATCTGGTGGCTCGCCAAGATAAACCTTCCTACCACTCGCTATAAAAATGCCTTCAACAAGGAACAACCAAAGCTCTGGACTGAAAGAAAGTGCAAGAGTGAGGGTCATCACTAACAGCCTCCTTATAGGATAGCATTGCT